TTTGCCAGCATATGGTGGGAGGTCAGATGCTTCGAGATAGTCTCTCTGAAGGCAGTCAGTTGCCAGACTACTGTCTGGTTCCACCACAAGGAGTGCCCATTCCCTGCTGTTAAGGACAATGGGCTACTTCTCCTTAAAGACTTGTGACCATCAGTCTGGTCCCTTTAGGTGGGGTTCACACCCTACTGATAATGGTTTCTACAGTGATACAGAGAACAGGTACTGGGGCTCTGAAACATCCAAAGTTAGGCTGCCATCCTTTATCTAGGATTTGCCCTTGTCACATGTGTATCCCCAATCCCTCCTCTTCCTATTGCATGTATATCCCTAGATTTTACCCCTCTCATTGCTGTATAACCTATAGTGCAACCCCTTCCTGTGACTTATGCCTTTATCTGTAATTAGTGGACTTGCACGGCCCTTCCCGACCAAAGGCATATAAGCATTGGTTAGTGATAAAGATGCTACTTGGCCTCTCTCCACTCCCCCATCCTCTCTCCCCACGTCCTGGCTCCTCTGTTCCCTTTCTCCCTCCTCCTTCCCCTCACCCTCTCTCCTGCCCTCGGTCTCCCATTTCCATGTGGACCACCAAGTGAGGCTGAGGTGAGCATGCTACTATGAAATGTGTCTGACTCCATAATTTCAATCTCTCATGCTCTCTATGACTTTACTATAATCTTCATATATATTTTAACCGTACAATTGCACCTATCAAACCTGTGATTAGTTGTGGGGGGCTGGCCTTTCCCCCACAATAAACTTTAAAAACCAGATGACATGCTGCTTTGAAAAATACCGTAACAATACTGGGAACAAATGAAAAAAACCACCTAGGACTTTCTTTTTTTTTTTTCTGAATCCAACTGGAATTTTATTTGACACAGAACACGATATGGTTGCATGAGCACGACAAACTGAAAAGACAAGGCAGGAAGACATGGTTCTATCTAATTATAATTAACAGGAGGGCAAGGCAGTAAATGAATAACCAAACATTTAAGCTTGATAGAAGAATTCATTTTTTCTAATGCCCATACTTTTGGAATTCCCACTCTCTGTTGTCCAATGGACACACCTGTCGTGTTTTGAGCCAGCGAGAGATGCAGTGGAAATGAAAAGCATGGGTACAGACTCCCCAGGCAACGGTACACTCTTCCGACCTGGCAGATGCCTGGTTGACTTGACATTCTATGCAGAGATCCATGATGTGGTTCCTGCAGATGGCACAGTTATCAGCCACAATATCCCAAGCCCAGAGGGCTGCTGCATTCCACTGCCTGCAGTTGGCATCCTGACCCTTCTCTGCAGTCACTGTGCGGCTGAATTTTCGCGGAACTGAATGCCATTTCTCCCTAGGACTTTCTTAGACTAGTGCAGTGACGTGAGATTACTTGCTATGACTCTTCTATTCATATCTTTCGGAAACCCAATATATAACGTTGCTGTAAGTCAGAATCAACATTGTGGCAGTGTGTTTCTCAGATACACCACAAAGTCCGTGAAGCTTCTTCTACCAAATGAATGAGTGGGATCATTCAGTAAGGTGTATCAGGGTCTGAAAGACAGGACTGGTAAGTTTTGTCATTGTGCTGAGTGCAAAGGGAACCATTTCTGATTCAGAAACAGGAAGAGGGAATATTCCACCAACAGAGCAGTGTCAAGATCCCTGTGTGACGTGTCACCAGTAGCAGAGTCGACAATGTTATATCACCAAGACTTTATCAGCAAGGCCCTGTTTTCCACCAATGCTCAGGACCTTCTTCTGTACTCTTTCAAAGAGGTCTTCTGAGCCCCCCACACATCGCTGGGCTTTGAAGAAATTCCCGTTTCATCAACAACCTGCTGAAACTCTTCACACAGAAAAAGGTGTCTAATCCCACTCCAATGCTCAGATCATTGGCAGACTGTACGTTTTTAAGGAATGCTCACACATGGTGGGACAAGTGCTTTAAGTACACCAATCTCACCCAGAGGTGGCGCGTAATTTATTTCCAGCTGCACACATCTGGACACCGTGGCTGGTAACTGACTGACGACCGAATCACCTTCCAGGTGTGCAAAGAACTCAGTGCCATGCAAGTCCATTGTGATTCGACTCATAGCAACCCTACAGAACAGGACAGAATTGCCCCTCTGAGTTCCTGAGGCTATAACTCTATAGGAGTAGAAAGCCTGGCCTCTCTCCCTTGGTTTCTAACTTAGTTAGTTGGCAGCCCCACATGTAGTCACAAGGGCTCCTCCCATCTAAGGCTTACCATATTAAAACACGGAGCCTCTCTCCTCACGCCCAATGCTTCTCTTCCTCCTGGTTGGTCCCCCACAGGAGCAGCATCTAGAATTCAGACTAGTGCTTATGAACAACTAAGTAGTTAGAATTTCACTGCTATGCTTAGTTCTTCTCCAGTGTGCCCTAACAGCAGACTGCAGCACGTGGGGACAGTATTTCAGAAATCAAGTGTGGCACACATCCTCTGACCCTCTAATTCTCTCTATTCCACTTAAAAAGGTGGGATTTTCCTGAGATTTCACCATGTCGACCACAGATCTCAACCACTAGTTTTCCCTCCCTTGCGTGGATGCTCCCAAGAAGCACAGCGGTAGCGGTGACAGGCCCTAAGACAGGACTCGTGATTCGAACGCATGCTTTGAAGGCCCACACGAGACCTCAAGCTCGCAGGTGGCAGTGGTGCTCACACCTCGATGGACCTGTGAATCACCGGGGTGCTTTAGAAATACTGTCTGGCAGGTTACGGCCCACAATGCAGCACTTCTGCTTCCTGGGAGACACCAGCAATGCATGTGAGGTTGAGCACCAGAAGACTCTTCCAAGCGTCAAACCACGTGGCAAGTCCTAAGTATCTTACTCCACAGTAAAATAGAAGGCATAAAAACAAGTTTGCCCCTGGAAGGACCTGACCAGACCACCACCAAGACAGAGAGCCTGAGCAGAGCATATCCCAGACCCAGACAGAGATGGAGACACCCCACAACCCCAAGGAACCAAGGAACCACAGGCGCACATACACTGAAGGGAGACAAAGGTCTTCTCGCAGACTCAGCAGAGTGTATTTCCCCTGGAGCTGGCACCCTAAGTTTGGATGTCTAGGACCCCTGAACTACAAGAATAGATTTGCTTGTGAGCATCACTAGATACCCAGAGAATAGGACAGCATTCAACGTGGGCGGAGAATAGGAAAACAAGCCCACAGTGCTGACAAATAAGAACCTAGAGATCATGGAAGGCAGTCCAAAGACAGGAGCAATTGGTCCAAGACTCTGGTTTCCAGAACAGGAGCACCAGAGAACCACCGACTCGACAGCAACAGAACTATGACTTCCATGGAGGCGCATGAGCGTTACACCAAGGGATCAGTTTACCTTCTGCTTCATCCTTTAGGGAAGATGATCTCAAGACTCTACAATCTCCCCATCTCCCCTCAAAAAGCTTATTTTTACTGAATTCCTTTATGTACATGCTCTAGACCAGTGGTTCTCAACCTTCCTAATGCCACGGCCTTTAATACAGTTCCTCATGTTGTGGTGACCCCCGCCCCAACCATAAAATAATTTTCGTTGCTACTTCATCACTGTCATTTTGCTACTGTTATGAACCTGTGAAAGGGTCCTGTGAAAGGGTCCAGACCTACAGGTTGAGAACCGCGGCTCTAGACCATACCCAACAGCTGAAAGTGGTTTCTTACGCAACTTCTGCTGGAGCTGTGGCAGTTTTTCTTGACGTGCAAGTCTATCTTACAGCACGGGAGGGAACGATCCGTCCTAATTTTGTTTCACTAAAACCTTGTCCCCTGGCAACTGGCCAAAAAAACCCTTAACATTGGCTCAGGCACACAACTTAAAGAGTCCTGATCGTACGACCGGCTAAGCTGCTACTCTAAAGTGTGGTAGTTTGAGGTCAACCCTGTCGCTGTGAGGCTGTGGATCTGCTTCTGTAAAGGTGACAGCCAAGCACTCCTTCTGGGCAGTTCTACTCTGTCACAGGCGGTCACTCTGTCAGAAGCCATGTCAGAGCACCTCCATCACCCAACTGAGGTCAGAGAGGGAAGAGGCGCTCCCTGGGTGGAGCAATGGAATAATGCACTCAAAGGTTACAGATACGAGTGCACTCAGTAGCGCCCGGGAAGAACCACCTGGTCATCTACGCCCCAAAATGAGCCCTAGAAAACCCAGCACACGACTGACTTGATGCTAGGTCCTACGAAGACTCTGCTTTTGCCCTCACTGATGCCGCCGGAGAGAGAAGGGCATTAGTAGTAAGAGGTCTAAATGAACAGAATGTGACGTTTTAAATCACTATTACATAGCAAAGAGCCAAGATTCTGAATCTTGCATGCCCTTTTTGGCTCACTGATTTCTGCAACTACTGGTATCTTTGGAAAGCAGGAGTCTTCAGTGCTTTCTGCCAGTCTAACTGGCAAGTGCTGGCATCCACAGAATGGGATAGGAGGAACGACACTGAGTGGGGCTGAGACAGGTGATGACAGTTCCCAAAGTGTGTCTGCAGACTTCTCACAAACCTTGAGTAGCTTCAGCAACATCTGTGAGTAATGGGGTTCAGAGATTCCTAGTTTCCACGACTGATAAGAAGACTCCCACACTCAAGAGACTGTGGTATATGAGTATGTCCACAGAGCTCGTGTGGCTCTCAGTTGTCTCTCTCTCACACACAAGTCTGCACAAGAAACCAGTCATTCTATCTACAGGGAAGGGCAGGGTTTTTATGCATGAAAACCCTGTTGCCATTGAGTCCCGTGTCCACTGGCTGGGCTGGTGATCCCCCACCATGTGTTGGAGCAGAGAACTGTGCTCTCTAGTTTTCTGTGGATGGATTTTAGGAAGTACATCTCCAGTTCTCTTTCCAAACACACCCCTGGATGGGTTGGAATCGCTAATCTTTCAGTTAGCCAGCAACCAGCCCTTTGGTGCCAGGAAAATGATGCAATTGGGGCAGGGGACAGAGGGCAGAGGTGGGGAGGGCTAACCTGGATTGCCTGGCGGCCCTGCTGGGCATCAGCCAGCAGCTGGATGGTGATCGCTCGAGAGTCCTGCAGCGCCTCCTGGAGGTAGATGAAGCTGTGGCCTCCGTGGCGACCCATGGTGCACTCCCGACAGATGGGCACTGAGCAAGTGTCGCAGTACAGGTGCAGCACCTGGGGGCCAGAGGGGACAGACATTAGTGAGATTTTCACAGCGGAGGGAGGAAAAGCAGAACAGCCAGTGGCTCCCTGAATTTCAGCACCCCTCCCCAAAAAGCACGTACCACCACCCCCTTTTTGGCGGAGAGGGAGGAGATGAGCAAAGGCATACCTACTCTCTCCCACTGCCTTCTGCCCCAAACCATGGGGGAAACTCCCACAGGCCACGTGGTCTCATTCAGAGCCATCACCTGCGGACTTCAAAGGCAAACATGAAATACAAACCACCCTCCTGGCAGGAGATACTTCCCCGCATCTCGGATTAACTACCCAGGAAACTGGCGAGATTGTTTCTCTAGTCTGAGATTGGTGGCCTGCAGAAAACAATGTGCCAGGTAAGGCTTCTCGCACCACCCCAGTCTTTGGGTGTGAGAAGCCAGGTTAAGAGCCAGTATGAATCACTACCCCCGCCCCCCCAGAAGAGTAGCCTGGTGTCGAGCATGCTCTTCACAGGCACTCAAGCAAACATGGGCTTAAGCTTCTGGAACGAAGGCAAAGGGCTGGGAGTGAGGTCAGCCAGCTCCTTGGCTTTCTTCTTCCTGCCAAGTAATCCCAAGGAGTTGATTCTGGGAGGCAGCCAGTGCTGACAGAATGGCTTTATGTGATGTTATATGTTTCCCCAGGGCCCTGCATGCTGGGGGGGGGAGAACGGGGGCACGCCTGGCTGGCATGGGCTCCACCTGCTGATAAATGAGGAGCTCTTGAAAGCTTCTTGGCAAAGAAACTGGGCCAGTGTCGTTGCTGGATCCCCCTCCACCGCGCAAGGGCACTTAGCACGGTCTCTCTGTAAATGTTTGGTGGATTGCTTTCAAGGGCAGAGCTTAAATTCACCTCGGGTACACCTGGGTGTGAAGGACACCGGCCAACAGGCAGGGAAAGCTAGGTCCAAGGGGAATGCTTTCACATACACAAAGACGAACTTAATCCCCAGATGAAGACAAGGGGTTGGGGCGCACTCAGGGCCACACAGCTGGCAAGGACAGAGCAGGACAGCCCACCTGAGCCTTGCGGAGAGCTGTTTCTAGCATTCTAGCACGCCCACAGTCCCAAGGACCCCAGTGGAGTCCGATCCGAATTCCACACGACATTGCTTCCGTGCAGAGAACCCCAACAGCCTCAATCGAGGTGAGGTGGTTCTGTGAGGAACAGAAAGGAGCATCCTCCTGGACTGACCTGAGTGGCAGACAGACAGAGGAGAGGGGCTACTGACAGCCCTTAACAGAGAGACATGAGAACACGGGATGGGGGGTGGGGGGGGCCCCCCGCCAGTGTGAGAACGTCCTCAAAGCTGCTGATTTTATTATTAACCGACCAAATCTAAGCATTCATTTTTCATTCGGAAATGCACTCCCACATACAGCTACTCAGTGAGTGGCTAGTGTGAACAGGTAGGGTTTGTAATCCAGTGTAATTTAAACTGCTCCTACGCAACCTTTGGATTCTGAAGCCGGGTGTGAAAGTATGCCCCTTTTCCCCAAACCTTCTGATGTAGTTGGTGATGGTCCTTAGTCTATGCAAAGGCAATGCCGCCCTGTGTTCATTTGTAACACTGCAGTTCTTTCCCAGCATGCAAGGCACACAGAAAACGGGTCGCTGTAATTTTGCCTTCTTCAAACAAGGTCAGGGGCTGGCCATATAGAAATGATTTCAGTCCCCTTGTAGATTGAGAGCACCAAACTTAACTATTAACCAAAAGAGCTGGATAAATTGAGATGCTGTCCCTTTCAGTGCGGTGGTACAGGCACTCCTACTAGGTTCAACAGCCTCCCCTCTGCTTCCCTTGGCTCTTTTCCATGTGTGAGGGGATTGCTCCTATGCTACGTGGGAAAATCTTCCACCGAAAGGCCGCTTTCAAACTATAAGAAAGCGGGCCCCTGACGCCTCTTTGGCCCCTCTTTCTGCCAGACAGCCAAGCAAGCTTCTGTCCCCTCTCTAGGTCTTCTCCTGACAGGAATGGGGCAGGCCTACGGGATGCACTGGCAGCTCATGTGTCTGGGAACACCTAAAGCACACCCTCTTTTGTGATCGGGGAGCCAGTCCACACGGGTGGGTGGGAAAGAATCATCAAGTGCCAGGGAGCCTGGCCCTGAGCAGCCTGCTTAGGCTTCCGTCAGTGAGGACACACTACCACTACATCTGTCTTAGGTATCTAAGGTTGCTGTAACAGAAATAACACATGTGGGTGGCTTTGTTTAACAAAGAAATTTACTTCCTTAGTTTAAGAGGCCAGAAGCCCAGAATCAGGGTGCTGGCTCCTGGGGAAAGACTCTCCTTGTGTCAGATTTGGGGGAAGCTCCTCTTCTGGTTACTTTCTATTCCTGTAGTCCTTGGGAGATTGCCCCTAGCATCAATCTTTCACCCTACCTCAAAGGTAATTTCTTAGACACAACCATGCAGGGGAGAGGTTCCACAACATAACAAAAAGTGCAATTTTTTCCCAAGTGCAACCAGATCCATTTGGGTGGGGGCTCGGGTGTCGCCACACAAGTACTGCATTTCAATCCACTGGCAGGGTCTTGACTAGGTACCCTACACTTCTTCTGAAATCCCAGGAGTCCCTCCCTACCAGAGCATCAGGAACAAAGGAGGTGCCGGAAATGCAACTGCTGGGGAAGAGCAGTGATTTCTCTGGGCTAAGGTTAAAATACTGTTTGCTAACCTTGAAATACCGAACCTAGACGCTGTTGGGCACACAAACCTTACACATGCAGGTAGGCTTTAAAGGAGGGGGATGCCACGGGCGCGCGCGTGCAAAAAAACCATCCTGTTCAGGATAACAAGGGCATCAGCCAGGATCACTATCTGCTCAGCCTGCATGGCTCAGACACCTCTGAAATGGGGACAAGGGGTCTTTGCATGCAATCTCTTGTGGACCCAATGTACAGAGTAGTTTCAGAAGGGCTGGGGTGTCTGCGGTTCCAAGGCTGTGGGTTGGGGGGGGGCAGAGGGCAGAGTTGATTTTAAAAACAAAGATGGGGGGCGGAGGAGAAACAACAACAACAAAACAAAGATGGGTGGGTAAAGCAGTCAAGAAAGCTGACAGCATAATGCATTGGCCCCATCTGCTACACAGGACCTTTCAAGTCTTAAAAAGCAAAAACGTCACATTGAGGAACTAAGGTACATCTGGCCCAATTCATGGTCTTTCTTTCCCCTTCACCTCTTATGCAACTGAAAGTGGGAGGGGTGGTGGGGGTGGACGACAGAAAATTGATATATTCAAGTTGTAGTGCTAAGCAAAGAAAATGGAATATACCGTAGGCTGCCAGGGAACAAAACAAATTAATCTTAGAAGAAATACAACCAGTAAGGGAGGCTTCAACTTGCTTACTCTGGACCCCATCATAAAAGACTCTTCTGTTGTGTTAAGAGCCGGCCAGCGAGGACCAGAGACGACCTCGGTGGTGGAGGAAACAACAGCTCGGACAATGGGTCCAAACACCCACGGATTCTGCAAACTGCAGGACTAAGCAGGATTCTGTTGGCCACAGGGTCGACTGTACGGACAACAAAAGTACAGCCTCGTGCAGCGTTGGTGGTGTAGGGGGGCGGGCGCACAGCTGCCTTCCAGAAGTAGGACCTCAATTTTAGGATGGACAAATTGTCTTGTTTTACCCTACAGTCCCTAAACCAATGAAGCCAATTTTTATAAACCCTCTGGCCAAATTTGCGATGCATTTTGGGAACATTCCACTTTGCATGCATTAGCTCTATAGTTTCTCTACCTGCAATTTTCTAAGATGTTGGAGCTGGGGGGAGTGGCGCACATGCGCGCGCAAGTGGCGACTGCTCCCTAAATGGCTCACAGGGTATTTTAAAGAATAAACTGGGGGCCAGGTTTTCCATTTAATGGGCTATGCTGGGTGAGGGATGAGGTCCCAGGGGCAGGAATTCCAGGGCCTGTTCAGGGCTTCCAGGGCAGATGCATGGACACGCCTCCCCACCCCCGCCCTGGCGACAAACCGGCTGCCCCTGCTGAATGGAACAGGCTTGACCTCTGACCCTGCAAGTGACCACCCTCTTCCCAGCCCCCAGCTTCCAGCACGCCCCACCCAAGGCCTTCCTCTCCCCAAATTTCTAAAATACCAGGCAGAGACAAAGACCCAGGAATGTGGTCCCAACAGGAAGGGGGTGGGATAAAGAGAAAATAAATAAATAAAAATACCAAGCGGGTGGGGTTACCGCCCCTGTTTTAAAAAACATATCGTGCTTGTGTTCTTCAGGAATAGTTTTTATACTTCATGTAGTCTAACATGAACACATCACAGAGACTTGTGCTCAAACGTACAGGTTTGAGACAACTGACCACATCACCCTGAGGAATGTAAACTGGGGGGGGCAAGGAAAGGGGAGATGGTCTACTGACTGCCAGAGTACAGATGCAAAGTAAGCTGCCCAAATTATCTTTTAAAACTAAAGTACACTTGACGGCTGTAAAACCTTGAAATTTCTACATCTTAAAATGCCTGGGCTAAAAAAAAAAAAATAATAATAATAATAAAATGCCTGGGCACACGCAGAAAGGGGGGCAGGGGGAGGAGACGACACCATGGCAAGGAAGCCTCACTTGCCGTCTCCCCAGGGGGTGAGGATTGGTTTTTAAATGGTACCATTTGAGAGGTGCATTCTGGCTCAGGAACACAGCTCCCTTTGGTTGGGGGAAACACTGCCCTGTGGTCTCAAGCTGGCGTCCAGAGGCCCCTCCTCCTGCGGCTCTGGCCCCGTGTGGCCTGGGGGCTGTGATCTGGGAGGCCCAGGAGGCGCAAAGAAAGGGATCTGGGTCTCCCTCGATTCACACCAGACCACCGACAGTCCAAGGCAGCAGGCCCAGGCCAGCCAACAACTCCTGTCTCCAGGGTTGGTTGGTCTGTTTTAAGAGAGCAAGGATGATTCATACTTTTCTAATGCTTTTATTTATTTTTAAATTTTCAAGGGTATAAAAGTCCAGACACTTTTCCCCTGCCTATCAAAATTCCCTTTTTTAAAAATGTAACCACCCAAAATGATTCTATAGTCCATGCATATTCAAATTTTCTGAAGACACCAATGGAGGTGACATTGCACTGGATCTCTCCCCCCTCCCCCCATCTTGGAGCAGGTTCCAAGTCAC